TTGTCCATTTTCTAACACACATATTCCAGAGCTCCTGCCACTGTGGAGAGAGGAGAAATATTCATTGAGATGCAGGCTTTTTTTTTTTTTCCCCAGCATTGTTAAATTGATTTGCTTTTAAGAATTATTGGGCAGTCGAACCTGCTCCAACTCCAGCTTGTTTTTTGCCGAACACTCTGGAGAGGTTTATAGAGATATTAAAATTAAATATGAAGCCACAGAATAAATGGTGTTTCCATTCACCGTATCTTGTAAATCCAGTTTAAATTGTTTCCTTTATTAAATATCCTTCCCTCTTAAAAATGGATTAACTGCTCTCACTGGAAGCTCTGACGGAAAAGCCATCTCATCTCTATAGCAACAAGTCACACAAATGCACCCCTCGCTTCCACACGAGTTCCTTGGCTTTGCAGGAGCCGGTACCTCATCCCACGGTGCACATCATGGTTACAGCATTTCCCGTTATTAATTACCTCCCCACGGCCGGTCCCAGGCGCAGCACTGCGACTTCACAGAAGCTGGCAGGTCCCGTCCTGCCTTGAGCACGCGGAGAGGGGATGGACGCATTCCGGCGAGGCAGGCAACATTTCTAGCCACACTTCTCCTCCGTACCCCTCATCTTGGGCTCTTGCTTCCCTTTTTCTTGACAACTTCCCTCAACACGCTGCCCAGCACTCACTGTGGCCCTTGAACTTGCCGTTGCTGGTGGCCAACGTTTTGCACAGGGGGGTTTGAAGCGAGGGGCCTTGCAGAGCTCTTGACCCATGTTTACAAATGTACCTTCCATCCCACAGTTAAACACCCTCGTGGTGTCACAGGGAGAATCTCCACAGAAAGGGCTGATTTAGCTGAATTTCTGGGGTTTGCAGGAGTCTGGAGTAGCGTGACCCAGCTGGTCCCCACCACACAGGCTGCCAGCACAGCTCCCTTCCCCAGGGCAGATGGGAATCACCTGTTATCGTAGGGGACAGCCTCTGGGAACACACACCTGGATGTTTTTGGCAAAATGGTGCCGTGGGGGGCGACTGCAGCTTTCTGCTGCTCCCAGACCCCAAGGCCGCAACAAGGAACCATTCCAGCCTCTGGACACAGCAGTGAGGGATGCAGCAACTGGCAGAAACAACAGCTAGAGATGAACATTAAAAGCTTAACCTCATTTTTATTCAGCTTCGAATGAAACAGCGGGTGTGGGAGCAATACAAAAAGTGGCTTTGGGAGACTGTGGATGGTTTCTCATCAGATGGAGCCTGCACTGAGCAGAGCTGGTGCCTTGTATTTGCCGCTGGTGCACAGCTGAAGAATTTGGAGCAGCAGAACCAACATCTGAGCCATTTTGCTGTACCAACGGGGTGAGAAGGGCACAGGGCAAATGGGGAATTGCCCGTGCTCCAGGTCCATGGGGACACCAGGCTAATACAGAGTCAGGCACCCTTCTCCCTGGGTGGCACCAGCTCTGCCAGGGGCTGATCCTGCCCCCGGCGCTGCGGCCAACCTCAGGCAGAGGCATGCGCCGCTGCTCCAGCACAGCTCATTTATCAGCAGTTGCTTTAAAGGGACCAAGCTGGGAGAGTGACTGAGTGCTCCGTCACGTTAATATGACAGTCCAAATTGCTCCCGTCTCTTGGCTGGGATGAATTTTGGCACAATTACAGTCAATTATAATTAGAGGCATTAAAGCAGCAGTTAAACGTAGCCAGGAACTCATGGCTTTTGCTCCGGGTGGGAAGATGCTTCAGCAAGCGGTGTGAGCCCTGGACGCCGCTTTGGCTTTTCTCGGCGGGAGGTGTGGGGAGCAAGGCACATGGTGGCAAAGCCCCCCCCCCAGCACCACATGCCAGGAGCCTGGCTGGCACCTTCCCTGGCAAAAGGAGCTGCTCCAAAACTGAGCGCCCAGCCAGGGAGCAAAGAGCCGCACCAGCACCCCTGAGGCTGCAGGAAACCACAACAGTAACATGGATGAAGTGTCCTGCTGCTTCTCAAAGGCTGGGAAGCTCAGGATGGGTGTTTGAACGTCTCCCAGCACCCAAACCTCCTCCAAAGCCTCTACCGGTGCCTGTGGCCTCAACTGCTCCTTCAAGTGCCCCAAGTGCTGCCTTCCTCCTGCAATTACCCAAGGCTGGTGATGCTCCGTCCCCCCCAGCCACTGGACAAGGGAATGAAGGGATACACAACACCACAGCCTGGCTCTACATTACCTTCACCACCCTTGGGGCAACAAAACCAGACACAGAACCATCACCAGATCCTCAGCTGCTGAAGCAGTGCAGGATTCGGGGGGCAACACACCTCTCTGCTTTCCAGTGGGGCAAGGCCACCCCTGCCAAGGCAAAGTGTCCCTTCCGAGGAGGACCCTGGGGCCAGTGGAACTCCACCAACATGGCAGCAGAAACTCCGTGGCAGCATCAGACGTGGTACAAGAACAGGAGTTTACTGAACGTCAGATACAGGAGAGCTGGATACAACTCAGCGCAGCTCCCTCGGGTAGTGGATTTCAACTGTAAATCCAATTTTGTTTGACATTAATCCCAACTTTTCAGTCCGCCACAGATTATCCCTTTGATGACGGCTCGCCACGTGGGAAGAGCTGAGACAGAAAAGCTTTTTCTCGTTTTTGTTTGTTGGGGTTTTTTTTGGCGGGGGGTTGTTTGGGTTTTTTTTGTTTGTTTGTTTGTTTGGGTTTTTTTAAAATTGACCCCCACAAGAGATAGTCCCTGCCCAGCAAAACGCCAGCGCTGACCAGAGGCTCAGGGCACACATGGGGCACAGGTTTCCGCTCCATTTCTGGCACCCACGTTACTGATGCCTCTGGGCAGGCGAGTCGCATTAAATACTGGAAAATTTCAAATTGGTTCTTCAGCAAAAATCCAAGGCCACAGGGTCAGGAATATCACACCCGCTGGCCCCGCACCGGCTTGCAAATTTAAATGTCACAGGACGAGCTCCTTACTCCCTTTGGGAAGATAATTCACAGCTTGATACGCTTCATTATCAAGACTGTTCCCTTTTTCAGCCTGAATTCTCTCATTTTTATCCGCTTCTCCAGGTTTGTGCCCACCCTGCCCGCAGTTCCTGGGAGGAGCTGTGCTTAACAAGTCTCCTCATTAAACATGATGGGCACATCACAAGCAAAAGGCAGGGATCCTCCAGCAAAAGCCCTAATCCCATGGTGAAGTCCAACAATGATCTTAATAAAACCAGGCTGCAATACTGGCAGGGGACAGGGACTAAATCAGCTTGAGAGTGGCAGTCCCAGCTCCCTGCACCCACTCCCCTGAGGGGATCATCTTAAAACCACCCCATATTCAAGGCAACCTGGGAGTGAAAGACACCGCAAAACCTGGTTCTCCTGCTGCTGCACCATTCCCCGGGTCAGCAGGACGGCAGCTGGGACCCGAGACCCGTGTTAGGGCTGCAGTGATCATGCCCAGCCCATCTGCATTCACCCCACAAGCCACGCTCGCCACTAGCTCCCCTCTCTATAATTAGGAGCTAATTCAGCGTCAGTAACAGACGTTACTTTTTCTTTCTGCTCATTTTGTTCCCAGAACTTATTCTCTCCCTCCCCAGGCGTGCAAGGGTCCAGCTCTAATTAATACATGGCATTATTTATAGAATTAGCCAACTCTAAGGCCTGGCTGCCCAGTCAAGGACCAAACCACGTCACCTCCCGCCCACACGCAGATGCTGGGTAGTGCCTTGCCGCAGGAAGGGCGCTGAGCCTTATCTGAGGTCACCGTGGGTTTGGGGTGAATTCCTTGACACCCCAGCAAACGAGCATTCCCAGCATGGGCCAGGCACCACCAGAAGAGGGGCCACAGCCCCAGGAAGCAGCAAGCCACCATCTCAGCAGGGAGTGAAAAATCATGAAAGCTTAAGAGGAACCTTTCCTGGAAACTGGGAGGCAGCCAGAAAGCGTCAAGCATTCGGTTGGTGCTGCAGGACCAGATAAGGCGACCAAAATGCCAAGTTAACTACAGCCGAGGGAGCCAGGCTGGACCAGCTGGCTCCCAGATACACAGGGAGTGTTACAGAAGCTGTTTTATTGTTAAGGAGAGATTCCCTTGCGGTTAGTGAACCCCCACGTTAACTCAGTGCCAGGCAGGGAACCCTGAAAAAGCCTTTTTTTGCTCACTGAGCCGTAGCACAGAGCCAGTGACAACTTGAGGAGCCGCTGCTCAGGACCGTGGGGGAACAGCTGTGCCACTGCCCAGGGACCACACGAGCAGTCCTCACTGAGGATCAGTGTGCAAGAGCGCTTGTAATCCTTTTGCACACCCCTTGCACATGTGAGCAGCTTCAGCCTTGCGCCCCACACCCTGCCATTCGCCGTTAATGCCCGCAGACAGCTCTCACCTGGGATGAAACATGGATGTTTCCAGCGGGCCACCCAGCTCCCGTTCCTCACAGAGGTGCTGACCCTGCCACTCGATTCCAAGCGGGTTATTTGATTCCTCTCCGCTCGTGCTCCCAGCTCGGGCTCCTCACATCCCTTTTGGGACCCCCAGTGCAGGCTGCGTGGCTGCTGGCCCCATCCTCGGGGCAGGTGGGTGCTGCAGGGCTGGGTCACACCACCAGCAGGATCTGATGCCATCACACCACCTGTCCACCAGCTCCCAGGGACCGCGCTCCCGGCGAGGTGCTTTTCCAAAAGCAACGTTCCACAACACTTCCAGAGTGCCCAATGCACGGGCAGCCGCGCTGAGCCTCGCCCAGACAAGCTTTGCCACCAGCACCTTCCCTGCCTGAAAGGCAGAGGCTTAAACATCCTTGTGACAGCAGCTGTCAGGAGCAGATTGGCAAAACCCACGTTGCCCCTGGCCGCTCAACTCCATCTGCGCCCGGAAACCCGACGGGAGCTGCTCCCCAGGCTGCGTCCACATTGCTCACCCCGAGCCAGCTCCACGCTGGCACCTCCCAAACGCTTTCACCTCCTGCACCCCAACGGGCCCAAACGGAAAGTTCAGGCAAGGCAGTGAAGAGCAGCGCAGCACGGGTTTGTTTTCTAAATCAATACGATTTTTCAAATTTATTTTTTAAGAATTACTTCTAATATATCTTTCTCACAGAAGGAGGGTATAGGGAATGTTCTCATTCCATCTGTAAACACTGAAATACAGATCTGGGAAACCAGGGAAGAGACACAAAAAAGTGCATTTTACAAAATTATCAACTAAAATATATTTTACATGTATTACGTTTCAATTTAAATTCTACCGACTGCATTTTCAGTTTCAAAAAATATTTCCATATCTAATAGATTAAAAAAGCATGAAATATTTTCATTATGGATAAGACATTTCAATTCATTTACATGCTGTTTGCACAACAGCATAAGCAACCACGTGAATCTTGAACAATGTTCTTGGCCTGAAGCGGGTTCTAACATGAGAAAAGTCAGGATTTGTCCTCTCCAGACACGGGTCAAAGCCCGGCCCAGGCCCAGGGCGAGGACGGTTTCTCTTCTGCCTGGAGAGGAGCGGGACAAAGGTGCGAGCAGGGGGAAGAGGGGGCAGAAGGAGAGTTTCAGCAAGTTCCTGGGGTTTCCAAGGCTGGGTGTCAGATCCTTCCCTGACTGCACCACGACGCTGGGGGTCACCCACCCGGGAGGCTCTCGGAGCATCCCACAGGTGAGGGCACTTCTGCTTGAGGAAAGAGGGTGCAGGCTGGGTGCTGGGGGGTCACGGGTGGGCCCATGGGGCTTCCCCACAACTCCCACGCCTCTGCTCCATTCCCCCCACGCCACGCAGCCACCATCCCCTTCTGAGATGGGCAGGAGCAGCTCTGCTTCTCCCGCCCTCCCCAGAGGGGAAGAGCCACTGAACAGCCTCTCCCCATAGCATGGGAGGCCCCACTCTCTGACACCCCCTCGCACCCCCGCAGCACTTCCCTCCCAGCGCCCCAGAAGCGCTCCCAGCCCCCAGTGTCAGCCGCCTGACCACATCGTTCCAAGAGACCACCAGTGCCCAAGTTAATTGTTAGGGAGAAATCTGAGCAATTACTTTGACACTAACAGTATCTTGAGGTATAAATGAAATAAGATGCTTCACCCGCAAATTCCTGCTCGCACACCGAGGATCAAACCTCCCGGAGGTGGAGGTTTTCCCCTGGGCTAGGCGGGCAAGAACAAAGAGGGCTTTTCCAGCATCCTCTGCAACACTGAGCAGGAATAGTCCACCAACAGCAGGGAGACGCGTGCCCTGCTCACCCACCACAGCAGGGCCAGACCTTGTCATCTCCTCCCGAGTCATCATCTTCTGAACACGTTCCCCTCTTTGGTATGTAGAGAAAAAAAAAATCTCTGGAGAACTCCTGCGTTAAACTATTTCCACATAAGGGGTTCAATGCCGTGGGGTTTTATCTCTCCAGGCCAGGCAGAGGTGCAGCCATCGGAGCTCACCAGGGAGCCCCCCCCGCCCCATTCCCACCACACCGGCAGCCGCGGGGAGCACAGGTAGTGCTACTTCCACTGACAGAACAACAGCAAAGCAGTATGAACGCTTCCACCATTTCACACAAGTTCAGAAGCCCCAAAAGACTGGAAAAATGCAGATCCCTAGTTTCAGTGAGTGACTCCAGCCAGCAGGAACCCGGGACGAGACGGTGTTAATTCTCCTTCTTTATGTTAGTGCAATCTAGAAAGGGACTCCCAGCCTGGCACAAGCGACTCAAGGGACTGTTACGCTGTCCTTTGGTTTGCTTTAGAATTAACTCCAACAGTTTGCATGAAGATAAACTAACGTCTATCTAGGATCTGTACATGTAAGGCAAGAGGCAGTATCTGTGGGGCTCGGGTCACATTTGTCAGCGCAAACCTTTACCAATGCTCAGTTCCTTTCAGGAGCCACAAAGCCACTTTGGTGAGCTTGCTCGGATGCCTGGATGAGTCTGGAGGTGGGGGAGGCTGCCAGGCAGCACTGCCAAGGGCCGCAACGGTCCACCCAAGGTCAGAGTAGTCACAGAATGGGATGGGGGTACAATTGAAAAAAAGCCAAAAACACTCAAGAAAAGGGTTTGCCATTCCACTCTCCAGCCTCTACCTCCTTCCTACTGAAGATGTATGGGATGAAATGGGGACTGTAAACAGCGTTACAGGAAAATGAACCAGAAAGAAAGAGTAAACCCACTTCTATCGCTATGGCGCCAAAGCCCCAAGAGGAAAAGAAAAGACAGTTCTTGCCAGTGGAGCCCAGTGTATGCTCCCAGGTTCTGCAGCTGCTGGCACTGGGCTTTATGGGCCATGAGCCCCTCTGGGACATGGTTGGGGCGTCAGCAAGAGGCACAGCTCTCCCTGACACCATGCTGGGACGGAAAGCCTACGATCCTGCCAGCCCCCTCTCTGCCCTGCGACGGAGCAGGCTCCTGAGCCTGGCTGCCAAGCCCCAGCCCAGGCAGTGAATCGCAGAACAGTGAGATGAGAGGAAGAAAGAGATGAGGGAAAACAGGGGTCACACTTCTTCCCCGGGTGGAGCAAAACCGGTTCAGGCATGACATGAGGCTACTCTATGTCCAGGCAGCTTCCGAAGCAACGGCTGCACTTTGAAGCTACTCTCACCCACCGGGAATGCTCAGATACTGCCCTGCGGGACACAGGAGCCTCCCATGCTCTGCGCCACAGGACCGGGCTCAGTCCTCGCCCTTCCCATCAGGGCACGAAACCACAGCACTGTCACAGCTTGACTCACGCAACACGCCACAGCATCCCTCCCGCTCCTGCCCACCACTCCCACTGGTGATGGCTCTGCATTCAGTTTACTGGCTTTTATCCCCTGCAAACCCCTCCCAATATATGCATCTCTAGATACATATATAGATATAGATTTACCTATGCAAATACCTATATCTATATACATACATTTATTTTATAAGTATATATTTTCATTTATGCTTTTAACGAAGTGCTGTGCTTTCAACTGCTGCCTTCCCCCACAGGGATCCGCTCCTGCACACGCTTTTCAGTCTGAGGAACAAGCGCTGGGCGCTCTCGTCCACCAGCAGCATGATGCAAGTCGTCGAGAGCGCCCAGACGTCCCAGAGCCTCGGCCCGTGCTGGCTCTCAGCGCCGCTCAGCCTCGCCGCGCACCGAGGAACAGGGCTACTGCGGGTTCTTCAGGATGCGCCCATGTCGAAAGTCGTAGACGTGACGACAGAGGAAAACCAGCTCGGGGTCAGTGTCCTCGGGCACCTTGCGGTGCAAGGGTGTGGAGTACTCTTCCGAGGGAGGAACCATAATGGTTTTCCTGCCTGGGATCCCTTCAACTCGACGCTTTGCCAAGGCACAAAATCTGCAACGCAATTACATGAGAAGAGTTGGCACAGACTCACTGCATCTTCCACAGTTTGTGTCAGCCTGTCTCGGCTGAAGCCACAACCGTGGCTGCCCGGGGGGAAGGGGAGGAGCACGGAGGAGAACGAAACTTTGCTCAAGAGGAGTACGTGAAGCAGCTATTGCTCCTGATCTCACCCGAACTGAAGGAAGCAGCACAACAGGTTATATTTCTATACTGGCAGATGCCATGCAGTACTAAAGATAATTGCAATTAATCCACCTTGCTTTTACAACTTTGGCCTCATTCTTTCTTAATTAGCCCCAGAAAAGGCTTATGCATCAGGCTATTTAGGCAAAGGAAGAAATCAGGATGCCTTCAGGGAGCATCTCTGAGGCAACCTTACCCGCAACAGCATAAAAACATTCCTGCCAACAGCTATTCCAGAGGACTGGGCTGTTAGAAAGTAAATGAGCCGTCTGGATCCAAAGCTGAGGGGTGTTTTGGTTGATTGGCTTTATGGGGTTTTGTTTGTTTGGTTTTTGGTTTGCTTGGGTTTTCGCTTGTTTGGTTTGTGGTTTGGTTTTTTTTTTCCTCAAGTTTTCGAAAGAAAGAGCAAAAGTCAGCTTATAAAGTTGGTAAAACAGTTTGTTTTTAGGAATTCAAACAGCAGAACCCTAGGCCAGGAGCAGGAGGACTAAAGAGTATGTTAGGGCTTAAACACATGCTCAGTGGTCTGACTAGTAAGATGCCCCCAGCAGAACTGAAGAGACTTAAAGCCCTGTTCTGCATTTTGAATTTGTGTGTCTGTTCAACCCCTGCTTCCACACTGCCCTGCACACCCGCCCACCAAGGGATGACAGTCTCAAAGACGGATGCCTGCAAGTTCTTGCTGACAAAGTTTCAGTTCCACCAGTAGGAGCCTGACACAAAAAGCCTCAGTCACTACTTCGAGAGCAGCTGCTGCCTGAACACAGAGCCACGCTCAGAGGTCTGGCAGCAGCACTGACACAAGTGGATCAGTAGGCTTCCTGGCTAGCTATGGCCTCTGGGCCACAAGGCAGACAGTGCTCTGCTTAGGTTTTAGCTCAATTACAGGTTTTCCTGCGCTGTTCTTCATGTGCTGTAGTACCCAGGTCCACGCACAAACATTTGTGAGTCCCCTAACACATATATATGACAAAAAACGGACTAGTAAGGAATGTGGAGCAGAAGCAGCACTCTCAGACCAAACTCGGAGGTACAGTGAGTGTAATCCATCCAGCTCCAGCTAGGCCAGTGTCTGTAGGGCTGGGACAGTTCCACTGTGGGATGGCTGGGAGCGGGAAGAGAGGCAAAAGCTGGAGCGAGCTGAAGGTCTGGGGCACAGCAGCGAGTTCAGAGCACCACCTACCTGCAGTACTCTGCGAAGGTCAGCACATAGCACTTCTCCTCTATGCAGGCAACACTGTTCTCGTCCTGATGCCGGGATGCAAAGATCTCATTCTGTGAAAGGAAGGACGGACACAGTCACCCAGCTGGCCAGGAGCCCCAGGGAGGTAGGGCCAGCTCCACACCTTCACCCACCACCTTAAAGGGAAGTCTATCAAAGCATGCTCATAGCAGATACTCTTCAGAGCCAAGACTTCATGTAATCCAGACACAAGAATCCCAGAATCATCTGGGTTGGAAAAGCCCTTGAAGCTCCTCCAGTCCAACCATGACCCTCACTCTGACTGTTCCCAACTCCACCAGATCCCTCAGCGCTGGGTCAGCCCGACTCTTCAACCCCTCCAGGGATGGGGACTCCCCCCCTGCCCTGGGCAGCCCATTCCAATGCCCAACAGCCCCTTCTGCAAAGAAATCCTTCCTCAGAGCCAGCCTGACCCTGCCCTGGGCAGCTTGAGGCCATTCCCTCTTGTCCTATTGCTTGTTCCTTGTTCAAGAGACTCATCCCCCCTCTCTGCACCCTCCTGTCAGGGAGTTGTAAAGGGCCATGAGGTCTCCCCTCCTTCCTAGTGTTTCAGGACCCATGTATAATGTGCACCAGAATCTTATTCAGCAAGATGTGAGCAAAGCACTAAGAGTTCTCCCATCATTTCACACAGCCCAGCACACTTTGTCAGGCCAACGCTCTGAGTCCCACACACACTGCCAGTGTTACAAAAACACTCGAGCAGCCAGGCTGCTTCCAGCTACCCCAACTCAGCCTCCTCTTTCCTCCCGGGGCTTGTGGCCCCTGCTGAAATGTGTCTCAGGAGATGAGATTTTGCAATGCTGTGCTGGAAAAAAAACAAAAGCAACCTTTGAAAGCGCTATTGCAAGGCCTGGGAACAACAACAAGACAGGTAAGAGGAAGGAAGGCTAAGTCCCTCAGGGGAGGTGCTGCAGAGGCTCAGAGAAGCCCCTGCAAGAGGTGCCTTTGCTCCAGCTTCCCCAAAGCCTGACACTGTGCACAGACTCCACATGGAAGGAGCCTCCAGAGCGCACCCAGCAAACCCAGTGAGCAATGCTGCTGCAGGCAGGTCCACACAATCCTCCAAGCTCCCAGGGATGGGCTTCACTCATTTTCCCTTTCCTGTGCTGGAAACACTTCCAATTCATTTGTACCGCTAAGGACTGAAACAGAGCTTAAATAGCACTTTGCTGTCTTTACTACAACCCTACAACCAGTCTTTCTAATCCACCTCTGTATCAAAGTTAAAGGAATTTCTTCCAATCCTCCTTCATCCCAATTCCATTCAAAAGGCTGGTTTTGTGAGGGAAGCAGCAATAGCCTTTTTTCCTGGAGTAACTTAGGAAACCTGTCTCTGCAGCAGGCAAGGTTGGTTAGATATGGGGCAACCCAGATGAAGCCATTTGAAAGAATTTCAGGTGTGGTTAGATCAGCAAAGATGTCTGGGAATAGGATGCTCTGCGCAAGTCTGGAAGCAATTACCTGCAGGCTTTGTTTCTGCTCACAGCCCTGAGGAGGCAGGCTGGAAGTGAAGACTCAGGAAAGGGTCACCGTTCAGGGACAGGCTTAATAAGAGAAACTGAAAATGCCACACCTCGCTTCTGCACGTTGGGGTTTTAGTCTGCTCCTTAAATCAAAACTGAGTCATCTTTGGCAAGCTCGTCCCAGCTACTCAGCCCAAACGGCACTCTCTCATTTGAAGTCTTGTGTAATTAAGCAGGTGTGCAAAAAATTGGCTTAATTCCTCCTGGCCAGACTACGGGCACTCTCACTACACTACAATACAACTGGATAGAGTCATGCTTTGTCTATGGACCAGAAAACCATAAGGAACCACATTTTGGTTTAGAAACTCATCTGTGCCCCGCAAGTCAGACAGGTACAATTCTTTGGCTGTTCCCCAGTCCTGCTTTCACCCCCTCCCTTCCATTTTAAAAAAAATGTGGGAAAAAAGGGAAGAGACACCAAGTATTTTGGTGGGTTGAAAACAGCAGTAAATCCTCCATTCCCAATTTAAAGCCAGCTTGTTCTGTCACCCAACACAAGCCCATGCAAAGCAGAGCAAGGCGTGAAGACATGATTCACACGTTCTTCCTTTTAAAAAGCAAACTCTATTATACTGGCACAACATCCTTGAGTCAGTCTTTAATTCTCATCATAAATCTATACAGGGGAAGGATGATGCATCCACACTTCTGCACAAAAACAAACAAGTTTCTGGAGTTTAAGAAGCAGATTAAGGGATTTATGATAAAAAGGCAGCCTATGATATTGGGATTCCAGTGTCCTGTGGAATTGCAGAAGGAGCTTTTGCACTGAGCTCTGCATTTCTGGGTGAACTAGAATGCCCTTTTTGGAAAGGTGTCTGATCTTGATTCAGTATAAACTCACTCTTCTTTTTAATCCTAAGGCAACAGAAAAAACAGCTTTTTACTTAATGCACAGGATTTTCTCAGATTAAAGGGAGGAACATTAAAACTTAGAGGCAGCTACATAAAAAACACAGCAGCTTCTAAAACCCAGAGGTTCTACACATGACAATAAACTGGGGAAAAGCCCATCCATAGGACACCACCACTCAACACATCTGGCAACAGCTGCACCACAGTCAAGAGACAGCTCCATTTAGCTCAGAACAGAAGCTCAGCCCCCAGAGTTTGAGGCTACCGAGAAACGCTGGGAAATACTCAGGCTAATTCCCCCAATTCCTGCAGAAGAGGCAGCAGGAGACCCTCGCCCTGGGTTTCGCAGTGGGATGGGCTCACCTGGTGCATACTGGGATTGCGGCCTCCCTGAGTGTGCTCCGGTCTGTAATACCACAGGAGGCTCATCATCAGCTCCCCTGCAACAACATTTATTAAAATATGTCAGAACTCCGTTTTCTCATAGGGTTTCTCCACTAACATCCAGCATCCTCCTGCTTCATCCCTTTCATTCCCATAGCGCTCACGTAGAGACAGCTGTGCTGTGATAAATATTTCATGCCGAACTAGGTGTCCTTTTGTACACGAGAAGCTGTATGAAGTCAGTCACGTCGCTATTCCATTACACCTTCACTCCCTTCTACTTGTGTTACATTATCACGAAGAGGCCAGGCACAAAAAAAAAAAAAAGCTACAGAAATCAAATGTTTCCAGCTGAAAAAAAAAGTATCCGTTCAGAGTGCAAGCTGGGAAAGATGCTCATCCAAAGCTCAGTACTTGCAGCATTAACTCCTGGGTTAATGCCAGCATTGCTGTCGCAGGATGACACCACCCAGACGGGCCTCACCACACACTGATCACTTCTATTACACGTAACTTATTTTTTTAAAAACTTTTAAGCAAGATCTGTACTTTACAACATTTGGCACGGCTTCCCTGGCTCAGGTATTGCTAGTGAGACGCGGGACTTTAACATCAAAACCTCAAAGCCTCACTACTCCAATCACCACCTCTACAGGGGTCCCATCAAGAGCTTCTGCTGCACACCAGCTCCCAGCCCAGATGTTGGATGGAGCATCTGAGTAAACAGCAGCTCCCGAGATGTCTGCCGCAATGAAATAATAAGGGAGATCGTTGCTAAGACAGGCACTTGGCAGATATTATGTGCTTTCACAACTAGGAAGATTTTGATTATCAGTCCCAGGCTAGTGATTAAAGAGCATTTCAGTTCCTGGAACAATCCGAACAAAAGCCATGGAGCTAATCTCTCCCTCTTCATCACCCAGGCTGGCAGCAGTGGAGTACCCTAACAAGCTCGTCACTCTCCCAAGATCCATTGTTCCCCTGGTTCCAGCTCACCCTCATCTGTCAAGCACAGTGGCAATACACACTCTTTTGGCACAGTACCTGTTTTGGGGTCTTCCCACAGTGCTGATATCTTCGCAACATATGGCATAGATTTCTTCCGGGGTCCCGATTTCAAGAGGACAGTATCTCGTACCCGGATGATCTCCCCGTCTCTCTCCACAGCCTGATAGCTCTTGCGAACGGCCGGCTCTGGTTCATTCTGTACCATTACAACACACACAAAAAATAAAGCAGCCTGAGTATGGGCAGAGTTAGTTTATTGTTTGCTACCCCAATCCAAGACTCCTTTGGTCCTGCTGTGAACTAAAAGCTTGCCTAAGCCTACTCAGAGCTTAAGTGCTTCCACTCCAAGAGATCTCCGAGGGAATTCATACAGCATAAGACCACTCATGGCGTCTCTATTTCCACCAGGTCGGTTTATAACAACAAAGATCAGGTCCAACAAATTACTTTTTCTGTGAGTAGGGCATTCATAGGTAAAGAAGGTTCACTGAGGAATATTATCCAAGAGCTCACAGGTTACACGTGGCCATCATTTTCAAATAAAGCAAGAGGTAAAACACAACTATTTATCCTACGTAGTGCTGGCAGTAAGGAGCAGCTCACTGGTGGGACAGCAGTGTCTCCCAAAAGCAGGTATTTCTGCAATTAATACCCTTATTTCAAATTAAAAAAAACCAATTACTCCTCCAATTCTGCATGCAAAAAAACAACCTTTAGAAAAATCACCATTTTATTTGCCTACCTGTAGGTGTGCATTTCCTTCATATTCAAAGGCATAGAAAACTAGGCATATTTTGAATGCTATGTGACATAAACATCATTAAGAAAACACATAAAACATGAAACATTTCACATGAACAGGGCAGGGAAAAGCAGGCAAGCATAAAGCATTCCTTACCAAGATTGCTAACATTTCCTTCGTGCCCTCTAACATTACAACATGATCCCTTTTTGGACTATGAATTTGTGGGTTTATTTTATAATTTTTGCTCTAAAAATTCATTTCAGAGTGCCTGAGCAGGATGGGTTTAACCTCCTGCCAGACTGCCCAGGCGAAGTCGGAAGCATTACTCGCCAGGACTTAAGGAGATTAAGGGTGTGCTGCTCCTTTCCAAGTGTCAAAGTCTGAGCAACGGCTGCAAGGGGCCTGTCCCTGGCTTTCACAGGCTTCATCCTTGCAGAGCCTGCAGCACTGAGAGCCAAAGCTCTGAAACCTGTCCTGGACGATGCTCTCAGCAGCTTGAGGTCACCCCAAGCTGCAGCACAGACGACAAGTCTGCTCGCACCACTGCTCTCCTCACCGCTCACATTTCCTACAGGCAGTCCAATGCCTCATCCCACCTTCTCAGGCAGCACGTGGGCCCACCTTTCAAGCCCACAGCTCTTATGTTTTAATAACATGAAGGATATTGCCTTCTCTCTCATCTGAAGTGGACTTTACTGTAGTTAATTAAATTTTCTGGCAGGAAATCTATCTTGCAGGAGCCAGTCTCTGCCCCTGAACACAACAAATGAGAAAGTACAAACAAGAAATCCTTGAAGGAGTGACTGGCCAGCAGATAAGTTACAAGAGGGAATATGAGGTGCTAGAAAAATTCCATCTGGGAGCCAGGATACTGTCTCAGTCCTTCTTGTTGTCTGGGAGATCCCTGCTGGGCTACAGGCACCATCAGCAAGAGCCACCACCTTACAAGAGCCACCTTTAGAGAACTGCTCCTTCTAACAAGGCTAAAACCTTCCTCAAACAGGTTTGCCCTGACCCAGGAGGAAGAGGCCAGAGGACGACCTCTCCGTAGGGTGGACTCGCAGGTGCCACCCTTGCAAATGCCAAAGCCAGACATGTTCATCATCATGGCATTTCAGCTGATGCTAGCACAGGAGTAGCAGGTTTTCCTTCCTTTCCAAGCTACCTGTCATGCTGCGCAAAGTAGTACCAGGGTGCATGAGAAAAACAAAGCCAACAGCAGCTCAGCCTCAAATCCCAGCCCAAAGGCACCACTTGCTTGTCCAAGAGGTTCTAGATGGCATCTAATGACCATCCCACTTTGAAAAGAGACCCAAAACACTCTCAAGTCTTCATGAGCTGAGAACCCTGAAGATGCACAAACGGGTACAGCTGTATGCACACAAAAACAGCCCTCTCCAGACACCTACCACAACGTAGACGGCCTTCTCACAGGCTGTGCCGACGGGTATCCAGCCATTGGTAGCTCTCCGCCTGCTGATGCGCTGCTGCTTTGGGTGGGAATGGCCTCCCGCTGCCTTGCTGTCAGAGGCGTGGAGACAGCCCGTTGTGTTTCGGAGGCCAGATTTGGAGCCGCTGGGAGGCTTGGAGCTCTGTGGACATTCTCGGGCCATGGTCTGAGGATCAGAGTTGGGGGTCTGCAGATGAGGAACGGGCTCTGCAGCCGGCGGCACGCTGGGTACAGGACATCCTGAGAGCGGGTGGGCAGGTGAGGCGGGGTGCCCTGCCACGGGGATTGTGAGGTTCAGCTGGTCCAGAGACTTGCAGCCTTCTAGCAGAAAGGAAGAGATGAGACATGTATCTCATTTGAAATAGAAGACGGCTACACAATCAAGAGTGTCCCAAACTACCACCACCTTCCCTTGAAATTCCCTTTATTGCATTACAGCAGTAAAGACACTTCACGTTGTAATTTCATTCTGCACTGTCGCTGGATTCTAAAAGCAAAGATATTTCTAAGCCTGAGATGCTCCAATATGTTGCTGCCGATGACACTGCACTACAACAAACCCATCTGAAATCCCCCAAAGTAATGCCAGCCAATAATACACATAAGGTTGGCCAGTGTCCAAAGCAGTTCCAGCCTGTCAATATGTATAAAAGAAATAAAAGGCTTATCAAAACGATGGGAAGGATTAAGCCACACTAGCAGAAGCAGCCAGCTTCTTTCAAAAAGCCAAATTCTACTAATCAGGGAAAATTGAGAAGATTCTCCAAATTAACTCCAGAAATATGAAACAACATGGAACAAAACTATGTTAAGATGATATACACTGCTGCCTTCAGCAAAACCGTGTCCCTGAAGCAGACGCGTTAACCACGACGGGTTAGGAGTCGGCTGAGGCTGCCTCTCCAAAGCATCCCAGCACAAAACAAGCCCTCAACCCAGGCCAGCGTGTCTGGCAGAAGAGCTCGTCGCGTTTCAATTACCTCCTGTCAGCAGGAAGAAAGATTCCAGACCAAAATACAACACACCCCTAGTCCCTATATCAGAAAGTGTCCTTTTTTGGGGCAACAAAAAGGGCAACTTCAGGCAACCTGTAGGAGATGCCTCCAGACTGCAGCATGTTCTAGCAGGCCTGTGGGATTTGCAGAGCTGCAAAGAAAAAAAAAGATCTAAAAGTCAAAAAACATCTGAAATCATCAAGCTCCAGCCGAATAACTGCTGAGATCCCCTTGCAATAACAGGAAATTATTGCCTCCTGTCTCCCACTTGACCCTCCCTAAGAGGGCTGCAATAAAGCCGTCGCTGAACCGCAAGCGTGAGGGCTGCTACGGGCCGTCACTACCGACCCCAAGCAGCAAGCGCCGCAGCGAGCCACGCCATCAGGATGCGAGTTCAGGTATCATGCCTGGCCTTGGCAGGCCCGGGACCACACAGCAGTGAATCACCCCTTGAGTATTTTGCTTACAAAAGCAGTTTTCAAGCTTGAACTAAAGCAGGATGAAGCTTCACAGAAGTATCCACTGAAGTTCAGGGAAGCAGTGCAGAGCTGGTCTTGCTGGTGGCCCTGCAACTCCTTCCTTGGTTGTAGCCCCCTTCCAGCCCCTCCACCGGTGCTACAGCATCTCTCGCAGCCTGTCCCGCCTCGCCCCCACGGCCCCGCTTCCAAAGGGTGGGCAGCAGACCACCCGTAGGACAGGGAAAGCAGTGCCTCCCTCCTGCCTACAGCAGCCCACGACCACCCGAGACTGCGAACCAATCCTCCCATTTGCACCCACACACAGGTATTTCCAGACGAACATCTCAATTCACTAAAATAACCCACTTCAGGATGAGATTTCAGAGGCGCACACACATAGCCACACCTAAGCATAAATCCATGTTCATATTCTAGGAGACCTCCTTATATGCTTCAATCCACAAAGAGTCTAAATTATTCCAGTGTTGAAGGCTTTTAAATCAAAGCTGCTCACAGGAAGGAAACCACACGAAGGAAGACCTTAGCAGTGGGGTGACACACCACTAGTAAATACGTGCCCCTGGAACCACTACGGCCCTGGCCAGCACCAAGAGAAATTACCGAGTTTGCAGGGAGGGCTGAACTCCGAAAGTCCCTCTGTTTGCACCGCCCTGCATCCTTCTGGTTGCACAAAGTCAGAGGCACCAGCATGCAAAATGTCAGGAACAAAGTAGACTGACATGACCTCAGGGCACTACACAGAAATCTGTCAGACAAGAACACACTGCTGAGCTAGTTGTCTTGCAAGCGTTCGACTTTAAAGAGCACGAAGCCACTAGCGAACGCTGTCTAGCTGCTGCTGTAGGAAGCGGCACCATGACAGCAGGGATATTTAGGGAAAACGGAAATTATACTTCAACCAAATGCTCCCGAGTTTCAGCAGCTTCTTACAACAGAAGATGACAAAGCCTCTGAACCAAAACTTCATCCACCTACCTGAAAATCTGGTTTAAGTGGGCAAGTCGTGCCTCCTTTTGACTCGAACACGTGGCTAACTGAAAGAGTGATGTTTACACTCCCAACAGCTGAAGAAGCAGCCTCGTCTATAGAGTGAGCCGTTTGCAGACGGCAGCACTGTCTAGCTGGATGTTTTTTACACAAAGTACTGGTGTCTGATAACCCCCACACAAGCCAGTTTTAAATATTTCAAAAGATATTTTTCAATAGCAAAGGCAAAGCTCCAAGATAAAGCACACTGGAGGACAAAGCCTGAAAAACAGGCAGAGGACAGAAGATAACCAAGCAAATAACTGCATTACCTCTTGCACAGTCACCCGCTCTCATTTTCAGACGTGATTTAAGGGCAAAGGTGGGAACGCTGCTCAAACTAACACTGTCCCCAGCACTTATAGCAGTGAAATAGTGAAATTCAAGCATCTGTCCTAACAGCAGACTTGAACTGAATCGTTACACAGCCAGATCTGATCTATAAAATCTTAGAAGACTGCATTCCCCATACCGCCTGCGTCAGTGAGAGTCTAACGGCCGAGGTGATGCCTGCTTCTTCACGCCGCTCCGCTCTGCAAGGATGCCTCAGTCCCCAGAGCGAGCTTTTGGGAACGGAGTAACTCAGCCCGATGTGCTTCTGACCCTCTGCTCAGAGCGGCACAGCAGGACGGCGAGAAGCCTCGCAGAACATGTAGGAACTAAAACCCACTAGTTTTACACAGACCAAAGCTAAGCGCTTAGCTCCAGCATGACAAGTCATGAGTCACCTTCTCACTGCCCAAATCCTTTCACCGATTCTATGCTTTCCACAGCAATAAGACCTTTCAGTGGGAAAAAACCCTCAGGGCTAGAAATGGGGGGAAGGGGAGGTGAAACACAGATCCTTCCCGAGCCACAGACTGGCTGCCAAGCCGAGAGGCACCACACGCAGAGGGAGCTTGCCTCCTGGCAACGAGATACCTTCGTTAGCCACCGTGCCGAACCAGCCCTCTGCTCCTAGGAACGCTGAATGAGATTTGCTCGCACTTTGCACCTTACCTGCTGCAAAAGGCATTTTGTAGGGGTAGCTGTTCCGTCCTGCATGCACGCTGCTAATCCTGCCCTCTGGCACGTGCACGACTCCACAGACGCTGTAACTGTTAATCGCTGTTCCTTCTCCGCAACAGTATGGAGAGTTACACCAGTGGAGTGGCTGGAAGTGAGCACCTGATGGCAAGGAACCGGGTGATACCAAGAGTCCCTCGCAGGTAGCAGATTGTGAAAGCTCATCCTTGGGGTAAACAGAGCAGTGAGAGTAGCCACTGTATCCACTTTGGCCATAATAAACATAAAACCCATTCAGCGGAGTCAGATCCGAGGATTCATAGAGACATCCACAATCCGTGTGATTTCCGGGCACAGGCAAGGGAGGGAACTGCTGCACGGGAAAGGAAGGCTGATGAAATTCCTGTTTGGGGGTCGGGGATTTCTCTCCAGGTCTTCCATACTCTGGCTTCATGGAAGCTTGTCCACCCATAAGCAAAGGCAGTCTGTGGTAGAAACCCTCTGTGCTAGCATAGGAGCTAGACAGCGACTCGTAAGGGACGGGTTCTGCCGTTCCGTAGAGCCTAGATGAGTCCTGCTGCTCTCCTTTCCCAAAAGTTCCTAGAGTAAGTCCTCGCCAGCCGTGCTGACCTTCCATTTTTAAGCTAGCCATCTCCTTCTTGGATTTGACGCAATTCTTCCTGCCAGCCTTGGCCCATTTGAGTGTAGATTTCGAACAGTGGTTCTCAGGCTTGCCCTCTCCGTCTGATTTACTCCTCTGCTTCAGGGGTTGGTCTTTCTCATGGGTCAGCTTCAGGAAGGCCACGGCGTTCAGGCTGGCCAGTCTCTTTGGGGTGGGATGATAGGAGATGGCACCATCCTCCCTCTTTGTCCCATCATCAAAGACCTCATCCAGTGAATGGTCACAGCTATTGTATTTCTGACTGGGCTCGTTCCGGTTTTTTCCTTTACCTGTTTTCACAGCTGTTTTTTCCAGCGCAGTCCAGTTGTCACCAGCTTTGCAATGCAAGCTCTTAACAGTACAGTCTCCACCAGCTTTAACGGAGTCCCTCCGAAAACGCCTGCTGGATAATAAGCCATCGTCCCGTTCAAAAAGCAGGTTGTTCACTGCCTCCGCGTTCAACGAGGCCAGCCTGCGTTTTCTGGGCTCTGAAGGAGCAGTATCAAGGTCTTGCTCTGTCCCTGGATAAGTTATTGTGCACTTTTCCCCAGATGAATCACTCTTCCCTGCTCCCACAGGCTGAACTTGTTCGGAGAACAAAGCAGGTCCCAAACCCTCCATCCAGCTGGGAAGGTCCTTTTTTTTACAGCTCTGGGTCTGTTTCGACAGAGATCCAGCCACATCCTCCAGCCTGGTGAGGAGCACTTTGCAGGTCTTTTTGTTCACTGAGGGGAGCAACCGTCTCCGCAGTGGGTACGTCTTTCGCACTTCGTGCAAATTCTTGCTTTTGTTCGTCCCCACAAACCCACTCGGACAGTTCGGAGCCTCGGGGGCATCCCCATCTCTTTGCTCGCCACACTCTGCGTCGGTCTTGTCCATCCTCCTGCTGCCAGTTGGTGACGAAGCTTGGCCAGCAAAACCAGCTGGATGTTTCAGAAGAAAAAGTTGTTTCTTCCGGGCATGCGTCATAGGATCAATGTCCAATCCTGGGAATGAACAGAAGAAAACATCTATTAATATCGCCGAGAGGGACCCGTCTCCTCACAAAGCACCAACTGCCAATTAGGAAATATTTGGGGAAGCTTGTTTCTATACACAGTAGAGTCTTTTTGGGTGATGGCCAGTTAAGCCAATTAAGAGACAGGATGCAATGAGATGTGGTTTAATATTAAGCCATACAACACGATAGTAATTAAAAGCAAGGCGGTGACGGCAAATGCCACAGCAGCTGGGAAAACCAGGATATGGACAGAAAGCTGTTTCGCCCAGCTCCCAGCCCAAGTACGTGCCCTGTTACACCGATGCTGTTTCTAACACGTTACAAATTCTCATCAAATCTACTAAAGCTGATCTGAATGCTGGTCTGGAGCATACAGCAGAAATAAATCCCAGGTATTTGACTGCTTGCATGTTGATACAGGTAGGCTGTTTCATTGTTGTTTTCTGAAACAATTAGACAAAAGAAAAACAAAAAGTCCACCTACTCATGTGAAAAGTAAACTTGGTCTATTAAACTGAGATCTGCCAACATTAATAAATTAAATACATGCAAATCCCTATGCAGGTTAGAACCTGGCTACTCACTGCTGTTGTCATTCCCTACAGTTGCATTTTACGTTGTGGACATTAAACAACCAAACCATCCCGTTTGGCAGAGGGGCCCTAAAAATATGTTTATGGGAGGAAAGAGAATTACTCATCTGTATGTCATTCCTGACTTTTCATCTAGATGCTATGTCAAGTCAATGTTCAAAACCAACACAAATTACTAAAATAGAGATAAGAATCTGCACCCCAACAGGAACCGCCTCGCTGAAGGCATGGCTGAGCAAACCAGCACCCTAATGAAGCTGCTGGCAGACCGGACACCTTCAGCACATCTGGACTTTCCCCGCCAGGTAGAACATGCCAGAAATAGTCCTGCCCCGATTTAGCATAAGAGGGAATTTTTCCTGTGAATGCCCAAGGCATCTCAGCCTCGGGAGGAGGATGGATCCTCCAAGCAATACATCGCAAAAACTCTCCGTGGGAAGGCAGGGAGGAAGCATCAAAGCCAGACGAAACGGAGACAACAGCTGACTGCCTTCACCCAGAGCAGCCGCTGCAGGGGCTGTGCACTCACCCAGGCACCCATCAAGGACATCCCAGGCTTCCCGACCGCACCACAAGCGGGAGCGTGCTGCTACACGGCCTTTAAGTATTTAGTCAGGAACCGATACGAGAGGAGCAGCACCATCTGGAGAGCCCCTTCAGCCATGTGCTGGCTTCCCAAGTTGTCCCGCAAACTAAACCTGATTTTTAGTTTTCCCATTCCATTTTTAGCAGAAGGGTTACCATGTCTTTGTACTCTCGCATTTCAGCTTCAAGCAACCCGCAGCAGGTTTGCGTCAGGTTTTTGAGGAATTAAGCAATTCTGCAGTCTGAAGGAACACATGTTCACATAAGAAGCTGCAGGTCTAAACCTAAAAGAGGATACAGGGAGGTGACACTAACCTATAAACATAAAAAAAAAGTCAGCCTAATTGAGTGATATTGGAGTAGATTTAATTAAGCCTGTATCTGAGCATTAGAAACAGCAGAGAAGGGCAATTGCTCACATTTAATGGTATTCATTAAATAGTCAGATTCCCTTTATTGGCACCAAAGAGTCAGTCTTCGTATCAGCATCAACCTAGATGCGGTTCGATCCTCCCTGAAATCAGGTATTTGCTGGAACACCCTCAACTGACACAATCGACACCGGTCTGCCACTGTTGAGGCTCTTAATTAAAGCTAGTACTGCTTTTGCAGTGATTAGAACAAAGCTACCGAATTAGAAGAACTGTTCATTTGATATGGTTTAATCAAGCTGATAATTAGATTATCTATTTGAAATAAGCCCAATGTGTTTTAATTGACTTGCTTATATATGCATTAACTAAAAGAAACTTAGGAATTGAAAGCCACTGTGGCTTGCACATTGCTTTTCTAGATGTCAGGCTCTTCCTGATATCTTTTGGGGTCCCTGACCCCTTCCACCCCATTACACATGGGATACCTCCCTCAGTTAGTGCCCAAACTGGCATGCTCTGTGGGGAGCAAACATTTATGTGCATCCAATGTTTTTCTGATAAGAAAAACAGGTTCTGGAAATTAGGAGGATGCTTATCAAGTCAGACAATTTCCTCTAAAACTGGAATCCTTCTTGCACAAGAGGCCAAAATGACCACACGCAAACTCTGGAGTTTGCAAGAGAGCTGTAATTTAAAAAATAAATCCAGCAGAGCGGGGTTTGGCAGTGGTAGACCAGGCATCCTATATAACCACACCCTGGGGAGGGCAACTTTCCCAGGCATATGGACCAGTGCTTTCCTCACAACTCTCACCCTATTTTCTGTTGTCCCTATTGAGAGCCTGAGCCTGAGCCTCTGGCAGAGGTGCTCAGCAGAGAGGTGAAAAACCTAAAACAAACAGCCATGGCTTGCCTTAAAAAACAGGATCAGCCCCCTTTCCCTCTCTCCTCACGCTTTCATAAGTGGCAGTCACTTCTGGCCACTCACCACATATTCTGCACTTGCTGGGGCTTTACAGCCCCTTAGTATTCAAAGGAGTTAAGATTATCTATCAAAAAACAAGTACTACAGACATGACTTTGTATCACATCTGCTCTAAAGTTAGAATGGGTCCAGCAGAGATTGAAGGGAGTGGGATTTTTCCACCAGTGAAGTAAGGAGTCATTAACAACACAGTGACCATCTTCCTGTTCGACCCCATAAGGAATACCAAGACAGAAAATAGCTTAAGTAAAATATCTTTTCTGGAACCTAAGCATAGGAATGCTTTAAGCAGCAATACCCAAAATGAAAACTGATTCTTCCCCCCC